CTTTTTATTTAAGCAGCATTTTAAATGTTAGTATTATTGAATTTTATCTGGCCAGGGCGGCTTGTTTTATATTGTATGTTTTATATCGTATATTTGTATTTTATTTTAATGTATATATTTTAAAATGTTGTTTTAATTTATTGTTGTAAGCCGCCCCGAGGCTTCGGCGAATGGGGCGGCATAAAAATGTTTTAATAAATAAATAAATAAATAAATAACTGAAACTTGGACGGGTGGCTGTAAAAGAACTAGAAAAGATCCTCAGGTGTAAGGAGGTTTCACTGGAAACCAAGGCCAAGATCACCCGTACCCATTGTATTTCCAATCACAGTGTACAGGCATGAAAAATGGACAGGGAGGAAACCTGGCAGGAAGAAAACCGAGACATTTGAAACATGTTGCTGAAGGTGAGGTTTGTGACTACCCTGGGTTAACAGAAAGACGAGCAAGCGGGTCATAGCTTGAATCAAGCCAGAGCTTTCTCTCAAAGCAAAAAATTACAAAACTGAGGCTGTTGTACTTCGGACACAACATGAGAAGCAAGACTCACTCCCTGGAGAAAAATATCGTGCTGGGAAAGCTGAAGGCAGAAGAAAAGGAAAACCGAATGTGAGATGGATTGAATCCATAAAGGAAGCCACAGACCTGTCCTCAGAGGAGGTGAGTGGGGCTGCTGTGGGCAGAGCATTTTGGGGGCTTTTTATTCATGGAGTTGCCATAAGTTGGAGATTACTTGATGACACATAATAACCAAACCAAAACATAATGCTTTTCCCACCTGAAATGATCTGGAATTAAGAAAACCTGTACTGGATTTTTGTGTACAAGGACGGAGTTGGGTTCCATTCTCGTAGCCCAAAGTCCAAGACAGAATGTCCTCAGAAACAAAAGGAACCCATCCCTGATCTTTTGGGGGGGGGGGAACGGGGGGAGGTAAAAGAACCAAAGTAGATCTGAAATGCCTGACGTCTCTCCATACCTAGTCTTTGCATGAAAATCAGATGCCTTTTCATGAGCATCCAGTCTGAGTATTCCTTGTCCATCAAATGATTTCTAGGAAACCCTTTTCTCAAGGGGCCCTTTTTAAAAAGATGATTGAAAAAAACAGAGTTCAGAATCAACCACCTTTCATTTTTAAGAGTGCATATGATTTAAGCAGTATCAAAAATGGACTTGAATAAAAGCGCAAATATCCATCAGCCACTGGACAGAAACCGGACAAATACTGAGCCCTCTGTGTACACAGCAGCCTACCCCCAGGAGTGCCCAGACCGCCCCTGGACTCGCTCGGATGCAGCAGGCCGCCTTCTGCAAGTTCCCCTCCACTGCGCTGGCTCGGGGTCAGGCCACGAAGGGTGGGGCTTCCAGACTTGCCTAACAGCCTTGCCGCAAACTTCCGTTCCAGGGAGCTGTTTGCACATCCGTTCCCCCTTCTGGACCCCTCTGCAGAGGAAGGAAGGCTGGCCGGCCAGTGCTTGGCAGCTCCCAGAGCCCCTCCCGGACACGGGGTCCTGGGTGCCATTCAGCCACGCTGGAGTCAGCCTAGAATGCCCTTAATGGTAACGGCTTCGTTTTGATTTGCTCCCGCACATAAAAACAAAATGCAGCCAGCATTATTCCAGCGCCAACGAGCTAAAACACCTCAGTAATCCCATCAGATCCTGACAATTACAATTGCATTTACCAACAAACCAACAAGGAATATTTTAGTTCATCTCTCTCCCTTCCCCGCTCCCATCCAGTTTTGCAGAGAAGACATTTTTCAAATTTAGAAATATATCTGGTCTGCTGAAAGCTCAGATACCAAGGGAAGTATGGTATGTGAGTACTCTGCCTTTCAGGATATAAATCATTCCAAGACAGATTTCAGATAAGATAAAGGCATGTTAATAGAATCACTACCGTCACTGATAAGGCAGTTGACGGTAGGGAAATTGTATTTATTTTCAAATTTATATGCCACTTAATGGCCCAACAGGACTCTTTAAGCGGCTAACAATAAACAAGGAGAACAGGTGAGGAAATCTGTTGAAGCAGAGTGAGCACAATCACTTTTTAAATTCAGGTTTCATAAAATCTGCTAAAGAGGATGGCCTTTGCTTGGCACCAGAATGAAAGGAGAGAGGGTGCCAGGCAGACCTCTTTAGGAAGGCTGTTCCACAGTTTGGGGGCAGCCACCAAGAAGGTCCTTCATCAAATTGTTCTTGTTAGTTGCGAAGTCATGTCCGACCCATCGCGACCCCATGGACAACATTCCTCCAGGCCTTCCTGTCCTCTGCCATCCCCCGGAGTCCATGCCAACTGCCCCATTGACTCCATCCAGCCACCTCATCCTCTGCCATCCCCTTCTTCTTTAGTCATCTATTGTTCCCAGCATTAGGCTCTTCTTCAGGGAGTTCTTCCTTCTCATTAGGTGGCCAAAGTATTTGAGTTTCATCTTCAGCATCTGGCCTTCTAAAGAGCAGTCAGGGTTGATCTCCTCCAAGACTGACTGGTTTGATTGCCTTGAGGTCCAAGGGACTCGCAGGA